TGAACCCTGACCCTGTTCCAGAGTAAAATCACTGAAATTCATATCCTGTTCCAGTGCAAGATTGCTGAAAACCATACCCTATTCCGGTATTGCCAAAATATATACCCTGTTGCAGAGAGGAGAGAGCGTGATTTCATATACCCTGYTCCAGAGCGAGCGCGATTTCATATACCCTGTTCCAGAGTAGAATTGCTGAAAACCATACCCTGTTTGGCGGCACAAACCTGTATAGCATATATAGGGGAGTACCCCCCCGGGGTCATAGGTTGATCCAAGAAAAATGATTACCATAGCTGGAAATATATTGTTAAAATTAGAAAAACTGTTAAGTTTAAAGGAACTAATTTCAAAAATCAAGAAGATATCATTCTTGGAGGAAGCTTTATTTAATTTTGCACACTTTTTAAAAATCATATTTTTGGCAGTTTTCAACTTGTTTCCTTCAAACTCCACATGTTTGCTGATTTTAACATGCTCTTTTATGTTATTTTGATTATCTTTCTGTTTTGTTAATTACAACAACAACAAAATACTGATAAAACAGGCTCTTTAGACACTAAACTGCTGCTGTTAATTTTGGGTAGCAGGTGATTAAAAATATATTGTTATAGCTACCTCCTGCCTGCACCAAAAACTCAATGGAAGCATGACCAATCCAAGTACTGAACCTGGGTAATATTTGAGGAGACACTCAATGAATATTCGTCATTTTTATTTAGTGTCTTTTCAAATCTTTTTGGTTCAGTACTTGGACAGAATTTTTGATGGTTTGATGCTCGACTGTGACATGTCATATTGATATAAAAATTTTAAAAAAAGGGTCAACCATGAGTTTGATTGCCTAGCAAGGTGCAACAATGGTGCAACCACTCTTGTGACTTTTAAAAGACTTTTTACAATAATAACAATGCTAATTATACAGCTTCTCATTAATCCCATATAGGTAACTGTCCAATTATTTTCTTAATTGGACAGGTCTTATTGATATGGGATTAATTAGGCAGCTATATGATTAATAGGTAATGGGATTTCATGCTCCCCAATTAAGAAATAATTAGACTCGAAAAATTCCTCTGACTGCCAAATTGGACTCAGCCTCATCCAATTTTGGAAGTCCTCGGAATTTTTCTTGTCCAATTATTTCTTAATTGGACAGCATGGAGTCCTATTACATATACTTGTTGACCACTATTAATTTAATAGCAAAAAATATATATTTAAAGTTGTCATCATTATAAAGTACTAAAGCTATTTTCCTTATTTATCTTGACAGATTTTTGCCAGTGTTATCGAGAATTTCTCCACTGTTTCCGACCCCACTCAGCAGACAACAAACCACAAAGAATAGTCTGCACACAGATGCTGGCTTACCTTCCAAAGCAGAGATTGTGATTTGTGGAGGTGGTATCATCGGCTGTTCTGTTGCTTACCATTTGTCTAAACTTGGCTGGAATGATATCATACTGCTAGAGCAAGGAAGGTATGTAAAAAGAAAACCTTTTAAGATCAACTATGGAATGAGTGGGGGGAGGGGGAAGGGGGCATGACTTATTGTGGTATGAAGTAGACATGTGCAACTTAGTTTAATGATTTCATGACGAAAATAAAATTATATTACAAAAGAATTAACTAACAATAATGGACAAGTTAGCACAAAAAGTGAAAATAAATGAGATGTGACTAGGGATAGGAACAGAACTTACATCCCAAATGCAACCTAACCTCCTGAATTGAAATTGAATTTGAAAGGAAGCACTTGGACGCTATGTTTTTGTCTGTTTGAGAAAGGCGTGCATAGAGGGAATGAATACAGGAAGGGAGGAATGAACGATAATTGGAGAATGGACAGGTGAACTTTGAACGAGCGAAGCATACATGGAAGGGTGTAGGAAGGAAGGAGTGAAAGAAGGTTTAAAAAAAGAGAAAGGAGGGAGAGAGAGAGAGAGGGAGAGAAGAACTGAGGAAGGAAGAAAGAAACGAACGGACGTACTTACGTAATTAAGAACGAACGAAACATGGAAGTATTGAATGGAAATGGAGGAAGTTGATGAGAAAATTACAGGACGCAAAGTAAAAAAGAAGCAAAGGTATTACGTTGAACTAATTAAGCATTTATTACTCAGCCTGACATGTGGAACAACATGGCATGCTGTAGGACTGATCGGCAAAATGCGCGCAACAAGCTCTGAAACAGCGCTATCCAACTATGGCACCGAACTTTACCAAAAGCTGGAGGAAGAAACTGGACTAGCAACAGGTATGTTCGATATATACGACATGCATGTTTACATACAGCTAGTTCAAAAAGGTTGTCTCGAGAACGTTGTATATATACTGCGTAGTGAGCTGTAGAATAAATAGTAGCGGTGATATCTTACTGCTTAACACTTTATTAATCTTGTGGATGTAAAATCTTAATAGTGTAACAGAGTGGTTTCATGGCAACCATGTTTCAGGCCAACAACAATCCAATATTTAAAAGCAACTGTTGAAACTAGGTTGAGCAAACCCATCGTGATTTGTGGCGAGCAAGCAATAGACTAGCCTCCATTACAGACGTTATTTGTGTCGGTCTCTTATCCCTACCCCACTAGAGACCGACACAAATAACGTCTGCAAAGGAGGCTAGCAAATAGACCTTTCACGAATTCGCTTGGATGACCACCAAACGATGGTTTGACATCAAGACTGAACTTCATTCTTTTATTCATCAAGTCCAAATTAACCTCGACTCGTGATCAGTCAAGCGAATTCGGAAAAGAAAATTTGCCGATGCCGAAGGAAGAGGCAAATAAAGCCGCCCCTACACGAGCAAGAAAAACTTGTCAAGGAAAACTTGCTCGTGTAGATGCGGCTTAATTGCTTGCGAGATACTAACAAACCACGATATTTTGTGATAATCGAGTGGAACAAGTGATTAGAGTGTTGTTTGCGCGCGTTCTTCATCATATCGTAACTTATTTATATCTAATGTGATGTTCCATTTTAACTTATTATCAACCCTTATCCATCTTCAAATCTAACGTGAATATATTCATCAACTCTCTTTGCGTTTTTCTCATCACAATTTTACAGACAATTTCACTAATCTTTACTGTGAGAAAAACTTCAACATTTCCTCGTGAATTTTTTCCCCTTTTCTTCCCAAACACTACACTACTAGTATCGCACAAAGCAAAAAGATGGGATCTTGGTTTCCAAATCCTAATTAGCGGGCAATGTTAATTTGAGATCCTTTTTTCGCTCAGCAAATACATCATTGTGCGCATGAAACCTGGGGATCGAAAATAGCTAATCTAGTTGCTTTAGGTTTCAAAACGTGTGGCGGGATGTATGTGGCAAGGACGGAGGAGCGTATGACTCTACTTAAGAGAAACGAAGCAAAGTGCAGGTAAAAGGTTCTTTTGCTGCCGCTCATGTTAATCAAATTTGGCAAACAGGAAAATCTAGAAGAAATCACGTTTTTTGCTATTTCTCTTGTATTGTCCTGTCAGACTCTTATCCAAGATAATTTGGAAAAGAAAGCAGTCTATAGAAAAATGGCGCAATACGTATACGCATCAAACGTAACATCATAACAAAAATGTCTTAAGTTAACATAATTGACCTAATAGGTGAAGATGATAATATTGATAATAATTTAATGAAAAGGCACTGATATAAGACATYGTGTTTTGTAATAGCTAATGTGATAAAACTTGATGTGGGTCAGTTATGACCCATAGTCCAAGTGAATACACCTATTTCAAAAAAACGTTGTCGTCGCGCGCCAAAAGCGACAGTTGATAGGTCATTCCGAGACGCAAATGGTTTCATTCAATACAAAGAACATTGAATCAGTCTCAACATTAAGGTCCACGTTCTTGATGAGAATAAGAAGCAGAAACACAAGTCATTCCAGCTATTCTTAAATCTTGGAATGACCTATCTTCTATTGCTTTTCGCCTATCGCCTGTTGCCTTACGCCTTTGGAGATGACAACGTTTTTTGAATTAGGTGTATCTAAGGACTTGTTTCGCATGCATGGAAGTTGCTATATTTTTCAAACGATTTTTGATAATTAAATTTGGCTAACCTTTTTTCCCCTTACTGTAGGATGTTTGGRATCCAGGCAGAATTATTAACACCGCAAAAATGTCAAGACCTTTGGCCTGTGGAGCTACGCATCGACGACTTGCAGGTAGATAAATAGACCCTTCCATGGTTGGCTCAGTTAGTTTGGCACCATCAATTCCTGCCCGAACCAACACTCAGGGTCTTAAAAAGTCTGTGTTGGAGAAGTTACCATTCCATTGCTCTAAAAATATCTGCCTATAGTTGGTCCTTTACTGTGGCTCCGATGACCACTTAAAATGGCGCTACCGTCTCTTCAAATATGTTAAAAACAGAGGGCTACAAATTGATCAGTTACGACTGTCACGTGTCACCCTCAATATAAATTTACTTTTGTTTTACATTTACTACCTCTACCAGAATCCCTTTCAAACTTAAGTTAACTAGCAGCAAAAGTCGTGCTATATTTTCATGACGAAATGCGAATTTGAAGAAGCAATAAAATTCGTGAAGCATTCTGGTTATAGTAGTAAAATGATGCCATCTTGCAAACGACCTATATTTGATACCTGAGAAATGAGGAAAGAGAGTTGCGCACTCGCTACCTCACTTGCCAACTCCATGGCAGAGAGCGAGGAGCATGAGTACATCTCTCGTGCGAGTAAACTTTGAGGGACTCTAATTGACTCTAGGTAACGGGACCAAAAATAGGTCGAGAAATTGTTCAGAAGAAAAAGGCCAGTYTTGTAAGTCACCGTTATAAAGGTGTCGATGGGTCCTAACGTGAGGGTGCGTGATTGTTCTTACAGGGCGGTTTGTGGATTCCTGAGGAAGGCGCAGCCAACCCAACTGACATCAGTCAGTCGTTAGCTCGTGGTGCTATCATGAATGGTTAGTAGTTACTAGTATTTTGTTGTGTAAAAAAAATACTTTTTTCCTCGCTATTTAAACATTTTAAGCAAACGAATATTCAGCATTTCATGTATGATCATTTTACTGGGAGTCGTCTTGGAATCAGGGATGGGACAGCGCTAGTGCACCGACTCGCCTCTCACCTCTGGTTACTCTCGGGTTCGATGCGGGTTAGATTCCTGTATTTTGCATACATGTGATTATAGTTTGTTAGGTTTCTCCGCCTTTATTCAAAAACTTTTCTCCGGTTTAATTCCTCCCTCCGCAAACGATAAAAAGCCAAATTTCAATTCCATTTTTAAGTTAGTCGTGCCCTGTACTTATGATCAGACCAGAGGTTGTTTCAGAGTTCTATCTATTCTATCTGTGATTTAGCCGTGCCCTGACTTATTATCAGCCAAGAGGTCGTTTCAGGGCATCGTTTTTACCATTCTGTATTTTTAAATAACTGTTCTAAATCTCGCTTTCTGATTGGTTAAGAGCGTGTGCTTTATGAGAGCACACGGCACGCGCGCGCTCTTCCAGTTTCGTCATTCCTGTGATTTGTATTTTATGAAAATAAATAAAAAACTTGCTTGCTGTGCTCTGTGCAGTTATGAAGCACTTGAGGATTGGCAGAACACTCGAGAAGCGTTCCCCAACGCGTCGTGCTTCTCCTAACACTTCTCCCGTGTTCTGCCAACCCCCGCGTGCTTTATAACTGCATACAGCACGCGCGTGCGTTTTCTATTTCTTCATCACCTTTAAAGTATGTTATTACCATCCCCGCAGGTGTGAAGAACCTTTAAAGTATGTTATTACCATCCCCGCAGGTGTGAAGATTTACGAGAAAGTGACCCTGGATTCTGTGATCACAGAAGGTGGTATCGTGCAGGGGGTAGCCACAGACAAAGGGGACATTAACTGTAGTATATTCATCAACTGTGCTGGACAGGTAAAGTAGCCTAGAAAAAGAAATAATTTTACGTTAATCGATCACAAGGAGTAACTGCTCAGTGAATGTGTTTATATTGGGCATTCGTAATTAGCGCTTTGCGCACTCCCCAAGGACCTCCTCTTTTAGAGTGCATACCATATCCGTGAAAAAAAGAAATTGCACAAATTTGCGCAAATTAGTAAGTCCAGTAGACCTCAGTAGACCGTAGACCAACAAAACTTTGCACTAATTCGTATAATTTTGTTAGTTAATTTTTGACGGATATATGGTATACACTCTACTATATGTAACTAAGTAATTGTATTACAATTCACTTGACCTTACCAGTTTGTAACTAGTATGCGTCTCTCCTTACACCCTGTGTCTGTTATGTAGAATATACAATACAAACGTTTTCTGTGCTAGGTAACGTAGTGTTTAAGCACAGAATTGTTATTAATACTGGTGTATGTACTTGTATTTCATTACAGTGGGCAAGAGACGTTGGACTGGTAAGTGATCGATTCTTTTAGTATTGAAGAAATCAGTTTTAAATAATGGAAAAAATACGACTTCGATTCCGAAAGCGTTTTTGTTTTCAGCCTCTCTTTGGCGTTTCAAAAATATTATTTTTCAAGTTTCTCTCAAAAGCTGCGGTGGCCTTGTAATAAAGACGAAAAGAAGCGTACTTCCCGACATCTTGTACTCCAGAACTGGACCCACTTTTCGCAGTAGCTAAATCATCATTTAAATTATCGATACTATTAAAAACAGCGTCTTGGCAGATCAAAGTGTCAAAAGTAAAAGGGAAACAACGCGCACACGAATGTAAAGAAATCACTTCTTCAGGTTTCTTTTTTGCTAATGAGCTCATCTTAGCCGCGCGCGCATCGATTGAAGTGCCTCCAGCTATGTTTTAGACTTTTAACCAAAACTACCATTACTGAAACCGCAATCGAGTATCCCTTGTTTAAAGTGCACGGAATCCTCGTCGCGACAAAGTAGGCTTTTGTAGACTTTAATCTAGGCGTTTCCATGAAATTCCATAGACAATGTGGCTTTGAAAGCTTTGTATTTTTCGATGATAACATGGAAACACTTTTATTGACGTCTAGCAAAACCCACTTTGCACGTGACGGTAAATTGTTTGATTCTGCGTCATATTGAGAACGACTGTAAACGCGAGTGAGCGTAGCTGTATACGTGTCTTTTTTATTTTATTTTTTATTTTTAGAAAAGTAACCCAGTAGTGAACATCCCTCTTCATTCCTGTGAGCATTTCTACGTGGTCACCAAAGATGTCCCAGGCGTCCATTCCCTGTTGCCCAACCTTCGCGATCCGGACGGCCATATTTATTTCCGAGAATGGAGCGGAGGGCTGATGATTGGAGGGTTTGAGCCCGAGTCTAAGCCGTGTTTTCACGATGGGATTCCGAAGAATTTTGAATTCCAGCTTTTGCCCGAAGACTGGGATCATTTCGGTAAGTATGCGGGTAAAAAGATAATTGAAGGAATTATTACTATTTGAAATGGTAAAAACGAACGAATGAATCAAAGAAATCAAAGAAAGGAAGAAAGAAAGGAAGGAAGGAAGGAAGGAAGGAAGGAAG